AGTTTATTTGTTTTGGATTGTGATATTTTTAATTATAAAAACTAATTAAAAACAATAAAGCTCTTTTTTCTTTTTCTTTTTCTTTTTATTGTGCTTGCTTTTTTTTGTTCTTTCTTTGTTAATTAAGCTCATCATTTTATTTTCTACTTTTGCTTTTATTATTAATTAATCTTATTATTTCATATTTTTTCCTCATTTTTTCCTTCTAATAAACTATTTAATCATATATTTTTTCTTCAATATTTAAAAAGTAACAATTAAATTGGTGATATGGGTGCATCAGGCTTAGGTTCTGGTTTCGCAAATTGCATTAATCTCTCAAATTTGACACTTAACCTTGCGTAAAAACATTTTATTTGTTTTGGATTGTGATATTTTTAATTATAAAAACTAATTAAAAACAATAAAGCTCTTTTTTCTTTTTCTTTTTCTTTTTATTGTGCTTGCTTTTTTTTGTTCTTTCTTTGTTAATTAAGCTCATCATTTTATTTTCTACTTTTGCTTTTATTATTAATTAATCTTATTATTTTATATTTTTTCCTCATTTTTTCCTTCTAATAAACTATTTAATCATATATTTTTTCTTCAATATTTAAAAAGTTACAATTAAATTGGTGCAATGGGTGCATCAGGCTTAGGTTCTGGTTTAGCAAATTGCATTAATCTCTCAAATTTGACACTTTACCTTCAGTAAAAACATTTTATTTGTTTTGGATTGTGATATTTTTAATTATAAAAACTAATTAAAAACAATAAAGCTCTTTTTTCTTTTTCTTTTTCTTTTTCTTTTTATTGTGCTTGCTTTTTTTTGCTCTTTCTTAGTTAATTTAGCTCATCATTTTATTTTCTACTTTTGCTTTTATTATTAATTAATCTTATTATTTCATATTTTTTCCTCATTTTTTCCTTCTAATAAACTATTTAATCATATATTTTTTCTTCAATATTTAAAAAGTTTTAGTATATTTGGTGGTCAATTTTTAAAAAGTTCGAATAGAATTGGTGATATGGGTGCATCAGGCTTAGGTTCTGGTTTAGCAAATTGCATTAATCTCTCAAATTTGACACTTTACCTTGAGTAAAAACAGTTTATTTGTTTTGGATTGTGATATTTTTAATTATAAAAACTAATTAAAAACAATAAAGCTCTTTTTTCTTTTTCTTTTTATTGTGCTTGCTTTTTTTTGTTCTTTCTTTGTTAATTAAGCTCATCATTTTATTTTCTACTTTTGCTTTTATTATTAATTAATCTTATTATTTCATATTTTTTCCTCATTTTTTCCTTCTAATAAACTATTTAATCATATATTTTTTCTTCAATATTTAAAAAGAAGGAATGAAATTGGTGATGAAGGTGCATCAGGCTTAGGTTCTGGTTTAGCAAATTGCATTAATCTCTCAAATTTGACACTTAACCTTCGGTAAAAACAGTTTATTTGTTTTGGATTGTGATATTTTTAATTATAAAAACTAATTAAAAACAATAAAGCTCTTTTTTCTTTTTCTTTTTCTTTTTATTGTGCTTGCTTTTTTTTGTTCTTTCTTTGTTAATTAAGCTCATCATTTTATTTTCTACTTTTGCTTTTAT